GGCCTCTCACTGCTGTGGCCTCCCCCGCCGCGGAGCACAGGCTCCGGACGCGCAGGCCCAGCGGCCATGGCCCAGGGGCCCAGCCGCTCCGCGGCACACGGGATCCTCCCAGACCGGGGCACGAACCCACGTCCCCTGCATCCGCAGGCGGACTCTCAACCACCGCGCCACCAAGGAAGCCCAACAATGGTTTTAACTGACTCTGTTTTTTAGATATTGGTGAAGTTAAGGAAGATTCATAGCATGACCTATTATTGATGTTTATCCTTTTTCAATGCTTTCTTTGAGTTTTATTTTTTAATTTAAATGTGAATCAAAGTTCACACACATTAAAAAGCACAAAACTTATATGAGCCTCAACATACAAGGTGCATTGTGGTAAAACATGCACACATGCAAACAAAATTTTTACGTTGATTTTTTATGGTTCTTAAGACATTTCAGATCCCTCAGGTATAAATTTCTTATAGTTTGGGAGGCTAGCCTTGTGGCACAGTAACAATTGTGACCTAGTTGAATGCTCTCCGTGTACACTATTGAGCAGAAGCTTCTTCATGTGTATGGGAAATGACTTCCCAAATATAATTGGATAGTATATACTTTAGGTTTTGTGGGCCACATACGATCTCTGTTACATATTCTTCTGTTTTGCTTTTTATAACCCTTTAAAAATGAAAAAAAAATTCTTAGCTTCATGTCTATAGGGAAATAGGCTGAGGGAATAGTATATCATAGTATAATGCACTTTTGTTTTTAACTGTTACATGGGCATTTGGAAATTGTGTAAGTTTTTTACTTGGTATGTTTTTGGATTTGACTTTTAGAAGAAAAACAATAGATCCATTTTCTAATCTAACCAGTTTTCTAAGACTTCATTTATTCTTTGTGTCTTTGATTTGCCAAATTTTGAAACGTATTTTAAAAGTTAACACTATGACTGTAGTCTTTTTTCTCATAGCCCCCTTGTATTTCTAACAGCTTTTTTTATATTGTTTTATTGAGGTGAAATTCATATAACATAAAGTTAACCATTTAAGTGTACAATTCAGTGGCATTCAGTACATTCACAGTGTTGTACAACCACCTTGTCTATCGAGTTCCAAAACATTTTCATTAACCCAGAAGAAAACCTTGTACCCATTAAGCTTTCCTTCCCTATATGCCCCTCTACCTAGCCCCTAGCAACCACCAATCTGTTTTATATTTCTGAATTTACTTGTTCTGGATATTTCATATAAATGACATCATACAATATGTGACCTTTTGTATCAGGCTTCTTTCACTTAGCATATTTTTAAGATTGATGTTGTACCATGTATCAGTACTTCATTCATTTATGGCTGACTAATATTCTATTGTATGTATACACCACATTTTGTTTAGCTGTTCATCTGTTAATGGACATTTGAGTTGTTTCCACCTTTTGGCTATTGTGAATAACACTGCTATGAAATTCGTTTACAAGTATTTATTGGAATACTTGTTTTCAGATCTTTTGGATATCTAGGTGTAGAATTGCTGGGTCATGTGCTAATGCTGTGTTTAACTTTTGAGGCACTTCCAGACTATTTTCCACCATGGCTGCATCATTTTATGTCCCCACCAGCATTGTACAAGGGTTTCAGTTTTTCCACATCCTTGCCAGTACTTGATATTTAACTGTTTTTGGTTATAACCACCCTAGTGGGTATGAAGTGGTGTCCCACTGTGGGTTGGACTTTAATTTCCCTAATGAGTAATGAGGTTGAGCATCTTTTCATGTGCTTATTGGACATTTGTATATCCTTTTTGGAAAAATGTCTGCTCATGTCCTTTGTCCATTTTTTAATTGGGTCTTTTGTCTTTTCGTTGTTGACTTTTAAGAGTCTGGATACTAGACCTTATCAGGTGTGTGATTTGCTAATATTTACACCCCTTCTGTAGTTTGTCTTTTCACTTTTCTTGATAATGTCCTTTGATGTACAAAAGTTAATTTCGATGAAGTCCAGTTTTGGGGGGGTTTTAAAATTAATTAATTAATTTTTTGTCTGTGTTGGGTCTTCGTTTCTGTGCGAGGGCTTTCTCTAGTTGAGGCAAGCGGGGGCCACTATTCATCGCGGTGCGCGGGTCTCTCACTGTTGCAGCCTCTCTTGTGGCGGAGCACAGGCTCCAGATGCGCAGGCTCAGTAGTTATGGCTCACAGGCCTAGTTGCTCCGTGGCATGTGGGATCTTCCCAGACCAGGGCTCGAACCCGTGTCCCCTGCATCGGCAGGCAGATTCTCAACCACTGCACCACCAGGGAAGCCCAATGAAGTTCAGTTTAATATATGTTGCTTATGCTTTTGGTGTCATATCATAATACATTGCCAAATTGAGGATCATGAAGGTTTACCCCTATGTCTTCTTCTAAAAGTTGTATGGTTTTAGCATTTATATTTAGGTCTCTGACTAACTTGAGTTAATTTTTGTATATGGTATGATGTGTAGGGGTCCAATTTCATTCTTTTACATGTGGATATCTGGTTGTCCCAGTACCATTTGTTGAAGAGATTACTTTTTCCCCCACTGAATGGCCTTGGCATCCTTGTTGAAAATCAATTGGCTATAGGTACACAGTTTTGTTTCTAGATTCTCAATTCTATTCAGTTGGTCTATATGTCTGTTCTTAGACCAGTACCACACTGTTATGGTCACTGTAGCTTTACAGCAAGTTTTGAAATTGGAAGTTTGAGTTCTTCAGCTTTGTTGTTCTTTTTCAATGCTGTTTTAGATATTCCACTCTGCAAGTAATTCCATATGAATCTGCTTTTCCATATCTGCATAAAATATCTTTGGAGTTTTTATAGGGATTGCATTGAATCTATAGATTGCTTTGGGTAGTATTGCCTTCCTAACATATTAAGACTTATAGTCCATGAACACAGGATATATTTCTGTTTATTTTGGTATTTAAAAAATTCATTTCAGCATTTATTTATTTATTTATTAGTTTCAGTGTACAAGTCTTACACCTCCTCGGTTAAATTATTCCTAGGTATTTTGTTCTTTTTGATGCTGTTATAAATGGAATTGTCTTAGTTTTCCTTTTGTATTGTTTATTAAGTATGATGTTAGCTGTGGATATTTCATAATACCCTGCTATTGTATATTTTTAATGCAGCATTGTTTGGTGTGTTAAGGTTTTATGACTTCTGTATCTTCTTACTGGATTAAAATTGTATTATAGATGATATTAAATATATCTGACCTTGAGGGGTTTTTCCCTTAATTTGCACTTTCCTGGTGTATCTTGCCCGTTTACTTATTTGTTTATTTATATATATAAATATTTTTTTAATTTATTTATATTTTTGGCTGCATTGGGTCTTCATTGCTGCGTGTGGGCTTTCTCTAGTTGCGGCGAGCGGGGGCTACTCTTCCTTGTGGCACGTGGGCTTCTCATTGCGGTGGCTTCTTTTGTTGCAGAGCACAGGCTCTAGGCACACGGACTTCAGTAGTTGTGGCACATGGGCTCAGTAGTTGTGGCTCGCAGGCTGTAGAGTGCAGGTTCAGTAGTTGTGGCACATGGGCTTAGTTGCTCAGAAGCATGTGGGATCTTCCCGGAGCAGGGATCGAACCCATGTCCCCTGCATTGGCAGGCAGATTCTTAACCACTGCACCACAAGGGAAGTCCCCATTCCTTTGTTTTTAATTTTTATATATAGTTGATGGGCCTCAAATTTAGATAGTAGATTTCATATTTGGGGATTTTAACATATTTAGATTTTTCACAGTGAGTTTTTTTTTGTTTTTGAGAATTAACATATCTGTACATATTAAAATAAATAAAAAATATGTATCTGGAAAAATTTTCACAGCATGAACACACCCATATAGAAACTGAATATTACCAGCAGCCCAGAATTTCCCTTGTACTTCCGCTTAGTCACTAACCCTTTTTCCCCAAAGTAATCACTGTTCTGACTTCTAACACATAAGTTAGTTCTGCTTGTTTTTGAACTTTTATATGTGGAATCATGCAGAAAACACTCCTTTGTTTCTGGTTTATTTCATTCAACATTGTTTGTGAGGTTCATCCATATTGTTGTATATGGCAGTAGTTTGTTCTTCTTGCTGTATAGTACTCCTTGTATTTTGTATGACCACTGCAATTTATCAGTTATTTTGTGGTCATGTCTTTTAAATCAGATATTCTGATTGTTTCCATTCGGTGATTATTATGAATAATGCTGATATGAACTTTCTTGTACATATTCTTTGGTAATCATACATATGCTTCCTTTTGGTATATACCTAGAAGTGGCAGAGCCATAGAGTATATTTAGCTTTAGTAAATACATCCAAGTATTTCAAAGTAGGTGCACCGGTTTACATTCACCAGCAATGTATGAGAGTTCTGGTTGTTCCACTGCCTCCTCAAGGATAGTACTCATCCCCACTGAGTTTTGTCAGTCTTACTGTTTTAGCCATTCAGGTGGTGCCTGATGGTATTTCCTTAGGGGTTAGTTTCCATTTCCCTGGTGTCCGAGATTGAGAAACTTTTCACGTGTTTATTGGCAATTTGTGATATGCTCTTCAGGTCTTTTGCCCCTCCTTTTCTTATTGGATTGTTTGCTTTTTTCTTGTTGGTTTGTGGAAGTCCTAGATATTAGTCCCTTATCAAATTTATGTACCATAATTATCTTCTTCCACTCTGTGGTTTTCCTTTTCACTCTTAAATCCTGTCTGCCAATGAACAGGAGGTCTTACTTTTCTTATTTTTAATGTAGTCCTATTTTTTTTTCTTTTGTGGTCAGTGCTATTTAGTGTGGCCTGTTGAATTCTTTGATTAAATCATGAGGATATTATTCCCTGTTTTCCTTTAGAAGCTTTATTGTTTTGATCTGCTTAGGTTATGATCCCTGATATTTTGGTTCTTATTCCTTCTACTGTATATATATATATATATATTTTTTTTTAATGTGAAGCTTTTTTGCTTTCATGTATTGTACAGACAAGTTACAGTTTCTTCCTAGCATTTTTTAAAAAATACAATACATGAGGAAAATAAAATATATATATTTTTGGGGGGTGGTACGCAGGCCACTCACTGCCGTGGCCTCTCCCCCCTGCAGAGCACAGGCTCTGGACGCGCAGGCTCAGCGGCCATGGCTCACGGGCCCAGCCGCTCCGCGGCACGTGGGATCCTCCCGGACCGGGGCACGAACCCGCGTCCCCTGCATCGGCCGACGGACTCTCAACCACTGCGCCACCAGGGAAGCCCCCAAATAAAATATATTTAACATACCTTTTATAAAGTTACTAGGACTCTAATGAATTCAACCCATATATTTTCATTACTTTGTCTTCTTGAGAGTTGGTTTATATGAACAACTTCTACACAAAAATTCAGTTTAACCTGAGTATACTATCTTTCTACAGGTTTTTAAAACCTATTATTTATTATAAATACAGGAAGAAGCATTTTTTTTATTTTTATTTTTTTATTTTTTTTATTTATTTTTTATTTTTATTTTTTGCGGTATGCGGGCCTCTCACTGTTGTGGCCTCTCCCGTTGCGGAGCACAGGCTCCGGACGTGCAGGCTCAGCGGCCATGGCTCACGGGCCCAGCCACTCAGCGGCATGTGGGATCCTCCCAGACCGGGGCTCGAACCCGCGTCCCCTGCATCAGCAGGCAGACTCTCAACCACTGCGCCACCAGGGAAGCCTGAAGAAGCATTTTTTAAATAGCACTTTAACATTTAAACATCTTGCCATGTTTGCTTTATCTCCATACAAACACACACATTCTCTGTATTTTTGCTCAACCATTTGAAAGAAACTAGCAGGTGTTTCTTTCTCCTATATGAAAATATTCCTATGTGAACAGAATGCCACATTGCCTGTGTGTGTAAATAAAATCGCTTCATTGCTCTCTAGATCCTAGAACTAGCCTACCAGACAAGCCTTATCACGTGCCAAAGATTTAATATTCATTTGTTCATTAAAGAACTACTTCAGGGGTTTCCCTGGTGGCGCAGGCAGGTTGAGTGCCTTGAAGACTTTGGCAAGTACTGCAAGTTAAACACTAACCTTTAAGAAGTACAAATTTTTTCCGGGTCTTTTAGGGTGCTTTATCCATTTCCCCGTCAAATCTTAGGCCACATTGAATCACAAAATAAGAAAATAGGTTTTTACTTTTGAACTAGACAATATAATTATATTCATATATGTTAGAGTCTGCATGTATTAAATTGTGTTTATTAAGTACTTATGCATTAAAAACATAAAACCCAAAGCATATCTTAATGAGTAGAGTTTCTAAATATGTGAGTTGCTACCATTGCATGACATGAGCATCAGGTAGGTTAACACTAAGCTTTGTTAGAGGACTTGAATTCCTTAAAACTAAGTTTCTTTAGTAATGGAGTTTTTCTTCATTAAGTTTAAGAGTAATTAAACACTTTTCAGAATGTCTGATACATAAAAAAGCACTTAAATACTTGCCTTAATTAACATGGGGAAAAGAGCACTCGATTAGGACTCAGATCTGATTTCTGGAGGAAGCTCAGGCTTATCTCTTTGACCATCTGTAAAATGAATATGTACTAGATGATCTCCAACTAGAATTAACATTTTTATCACTATGTATTGTAGTTATTGTACATACTGCTAAGAAAACACTTAATAAATTTCTGTCTGATCAGGAGATTTTAAACTTTTTTTATCTTAATGATAATGCTGGGGAAAAAAAGATTTCTCTTTCAATGACTGTGTGACTTGAACTTTTTTCTTACTTGATAGCTCGAATTACATCTTTACAAGAGGAGGTGAAGCATCTCAAACATAATCTTGAAAGAGTGGAAGGAGAAAGAAAAGAGGCTCAAGACATGCTTAATCATTCAGAAAAAGTAAATGATTTAACATATACCAATTATGAGATAGTATTTATTGATTATCAGATATTATAAGATGGTTTTATAAAAGATCATTCCTAATCTTTATATGTTTACATTTCTAGAAGTTTTTATTGTTGGTTGCTGTGTGGAGGTGTATATGTGGGTCTTAATTTGGGCTTTTTGGGTTTTTTTTTTTTTTTTTTTTTTTTTGGGCGGTCCGCGGGCCTCTCACTGTTGTGGCCTCTCCCATTGCGGAGCACAGGCTCCGGACGCGCATGCTCAGCGGCCATGGCTCACGGGCCCAGCCGCTCCCCGGCATGTGGGATCCTCCCGGACCGGGCACAAACCCGTGTCCCCTGCACCAGCAGGCAGATTCTCAACCACTGCACCACCAGGGAAGCCCTAGGGTGTTATTTTTATTTGTTTGTTTCTACCCTTGAAGGGTATCTATCATCACAAATTGCTTTGGTTTGGAGATACCTCTTCATATAGATTTTTTCCCCCATTTTTTGTACATGGGTAAGATGAAGATGCTGAACCTTACTAATTATGAAGAAGGAAAACAAAGGATTAGTATGTAGTAGACCATGTGTGCCTTTTCCATTTCGTTAGTAAGAGTTAGCAAAATAGTAAAGAGCATACATAATGTAATTGGCCTTTGCATGTAGAATTTTCATAACAGTCAAAAAATGCCATTGGTTATCCTCTGTCCTTACCTTGCTAAGAAAAGGATTAAATAGGTAATATGCAGATTTAGCTTACCTCCCTGAAATGTTGTAGGTTTACTAGATCCTCAGGTAAATGATCAGAAAATTCACCACTTATCTTGTCCTTTGGACATGTTTTGTGTCATTCAGAGTAGCTTTTTGATGTCTAAGTCTGGTATAAGTTTGGAAATAGGATGAAAGAAGAGTAGAAGTACCCAAACAGGAATGGAATACATGTTTACATTCTTTTGTCAGAGCAAGGTAAATCTAGGTGTAGATGCAATTGTAAATAGAGATCAGTTTTTTTTAATGGTAGCAAAAAATTTTAAATGAACTGAAGAATTGTCCTATTCATTTCTGATCCTCGCAGTGAACCCTCCTGAACATAACAGAACTCTGCCCTGCCATCAGCCATGGCTAATGATTCACATGGGGAGGGGTGGGGGGCAGAAAAAAGGTGATATTTTGCTTTTAATTATATGTGCTTATTGTGATTTTTAAAGTAAGACATTATAGATGGTGTGAAATATACAAGAAGTATAAAAATAAAGTTGTGTCTTGAATAAAAATATTTAAGTATATATGGTGTAACATTTCAAGCCAATGTGATTCATGTATTATCTCTTATGGGATATTAATTAATATAAGATTTAATGATGTGCCTTTTGCACAGTGTAGTGCATGACTTTCATTCTCATTTTACAGGAAAAGAATAACTTAGAAATAGATTTAAACTACAAGCTTAAATCATTACAGCAAAGGTTAGAACAAGAGGTAAATGAACATAAAGTAACCAAAGCTCGTTTAACTGACAAACATCAATCTATTGAAGAGGCCAAGTCTGTTGCAATGTGTGGTAAGTGTCAGTCTTAATATTTTCTACATGATTAGTTTTTAAATAATGCCAACAAAAATATTTTGATTTTGATCCAATTTTATTGTGTAGTAGTTTAAACTCTTAGAAATTATAAATGATGATCTGGAAAAAGGGTGCCTTCCTTTTTGATACCTTCCATTTTTTAAAATGACAATTTCACCTGCTAGTTCTCTTACTCTACCATTCTCTACTCCCTATACTACCCTCTACTCCCTGTATAAGTCAGTGGATTCTCATTTCTCCCAGTTTTTCAGCCCTTTCCTTTGTTTTCTTCGAGATCCATTCTGGAACTCATTGTCTGTTAATTCATCTGCTTTCTTGCTCTGTACCCTCAACTCTCTCATTCCTTTGTATTTCCACTGTGTTATGCCTCTAAGCACAACAGATCTAGATCAGACTAGCCGGCCACTTTTCATTGCTTCAAATAGTTCTTCAGATGGATGTTATCCCAATGCATTGTCTCCAGCCTCAGGTGAGCTGTCATTTTTGTATATGTCACTCATCATTTCCTTCTCCTAAACTTTTATTTCTCTCCTCAAGCTTCCTATGCCATTTCTTTATTGCTTTAATTTTAGGTGAACATTCTCCTATTTCAAAAAGAAATTGTGAAATCATAGGTGTGAACCCCTCAGAATCTAATTCTCTAACTTAATCAACCTGTCTTACTACTTTACCCATGTTCATTATCTTCCTTCTCATCTTAGAGGAGGGTGATCCTCTTCCTGTCCTTGCTAATATGTTCTAGCTGTATTCAGATCCAGCCTCTTATCTCAACTTGTTATTTCTTTTTCTCCTCTTTATTCTCAACCTTTTTTCCTCCACTGAATTTCTTCCTGTTGTAAACATGTACAAGTCTCTCCCATCTTAAAAAAAAAAAAAAAAGACAGACCCTTGCAGCAACCTGTGATCCTTACTAATTGCCACTGTTTTATTCCATCCCTTTATAGCCAAATTTATAAAAAGATGTCTTCCTTTTCTTCACCTTCTACTCACTTCTTAACCTATTGTACCCTGGAAATGTTACCTGGCACCTTAAATTCAGTTTATTCAAGGGAGAACGTGTGACCTTATCTGTCAGACCTGCCCTTACTCCTATTCTGACTGTCTTGGTTAACGGCTGTCTAGTTTTTATGAGCCCAGGCTTGTAATCAGACAAATCTACTTTGCCTCTTAGCCACTCTGTGACTATTAAAAAACAAAAAAAAATTAGGTGGGAAAATGCATCTAAACTGCCTGTACATAAAAAGCTTTCAATAAATGGGAGATATTATCATGGTTATGGATGATGGTATTCAACATCCAGGGGCCCAAGCCAGAAATCTGGGAATTATTCAGGAAGCTCCATTCTGATGGTTTCTATTTTGTCACCTAGAGGACAGTCTGAAAGTGAGAAAGCAGACTTATTAAGTTTGAAACCTGATGGTGCAACTTAAGAGTTGCAAGACCCTAGAAAATTAACCTTCAGAACCTTAGTTACCGTATCTCAAAAAGGGAACCTCACTGTAGACTAATATCTTCTGATAATAATTAAAATAGGTATTATACTATCGCGGAATCTTGTCTGAGTTGCATAAATTAAAGTTTACATCACAGCCTTAAGCCTCGGAAACTTTTCTGGAACAATGCTAGGTATAGATTAATAACCACAATCATATTTTTCTACTTTTATCTGAACTACCTCCATTCTTCTCCTTAGATACTCCACTTTTTTCCAGCTATACTTTCACCTTCTGGTCTGAAAATGGCACTGAATAGTCTCTCAGATCATTGGGCAAGGGATGGATTTGGAAGATTCGTTTTATGTTATGACTCTCTTCCTTTAGAGATCCCACTATACAAATAATTCATAATGTTAGAACTTTTATAATGAATAGCTCTAAAAGAGTCCCAGGATAAAAACAGTAGGGATTTTTGGCACCTAGGTGTCTTACACAGCCCATGAAAGTGAAAAGCATGTCTTTTTCTTTAAATGTATGTTTGTAACTTTTTTCTTTCACAGAGATGGAAAAAAAGCTGAAGGAAGAGAGAGAAGCTCGAGAGAAGGCTGAAAATAGGGTTGTTCAGATTGAGAAGCAGTGCTCCATGCTAGATGTTGATCTAAAACAATCTCAGCAGAAGCTAGAGCATTTGACTGAAAATAAAGAAAGGATGGAGGATGAAGTAAGAAAAATAATACTGATTTTGTTTATCTTATAAAAGACAATATCATTGTTATGACTAAAAAGTCATTATAATTTAAACAACACGGTGGAGATTTTAATAAAATAACTTATATTTATCTGTGTTCACTGCTGTAAGGTCACCACTATATCCCTAACTCCTAAAATTTTCATCTTCGTATAATGAACATTCACACCATAGGTTCTATACCATTTTGCACTGTGACAGTACAACTGTAAAGAAGTGTCGCAGCTCCTCCCCTGAAGAAACTGACCATTTGCTTTTTAAGAGAGAGAGAGAGAGAAAAAAAAAAACCTCTTTATTGTCAGGTATCCAGTAATCCCCAAGAGGAGCATTGTTTATAGATTTCAAAGGAAGCGTTAAACTGTGGAGTCTTGCTTGATTTACATAGATAGAAAGCAGTAAATAAAGAGATAAAATGATATCATATCCTAGTGATTGGTATATATACTTTATTGATTTTTAAAATTTATTTATTTTTGGCTGCATTGGGTCTTTGTTGCTGCACGCGGGCTTTCTCTAGTTGTGGTGAGCGGGGACTACTCTTCATTGCCGTGTGCGGGCTTCTCATTGCAGTGGCTTCTCTTGTTGCAGAGCACAGGCTCTAGGCACGCGGGCTTCAGTAGTTGCAGCACGCGGGCTCTGTAGTTGCGCACGGGCTTCGTTGCTCGGCGGCATGTGGGATCTTCCCGGACCAGGGCTCGAACCTGTGTCCCCTGCATTGGCAGGCGGATTCTTAACCACTGCGCCACCAGAGAAGCCGGTATATGTACTTTAGAAATTATAAGACCAAAAATAATTAGTTCACATATGTAAATTAGAGAAGGGAGAAAGAGAAGATTAGATTAATGAGGAAAGCCTTCACAAAGGAGGAATGGGTTGTCACTTATATTTCAAAGGTTGAGTAAGGCCTGAAAAGGTGATAGTTTGAAAGTCAGAAGCCTGAATTGGTAGAGGGAACATTTTAAGTATAGATAAAAGAGTAATTACTGATTGCTTAAGGAAATAGGTAAGTGAGGGACAAAAAGCGACTTGATCAAACCAGGAAAGGAGAGACATGTTGAGTAGTCATGGGGGAAACCTGAAGGGCAAAGTATTGATAGTTTTTAAAACTACAAAACTATAGATGAAAACACTTTCAGGAAAAGTAATCTGGTAGTGGTATATAGAATGGACAAGAAAGAAGAGAGATTAGAGATACCTAATATAGCCAGCATGCAGGAAGAATGTATGTTGAAAATTTGGGAGATAATATTCAGTAATTTTAAAATGTAACTTTTGACCATGTGTTATCTGCCTAGCCCTGTGCTAGGAGTTGGGGTACGGAATAAGATGGCTATGGTCTTGACTTCTGTGGAACTTAGAACCCAAAGGGAAAGACAGATATTAAAATTGAATTACAAGCATGACATATTTAAAGAGGGCATACCGGGTAGGAGTGTTAGGACTAATCACATCCAGGAGGTAAAGGAGGCCTCACTAAGGGTTTGGCATTTAAGAGCTGAAGAAAGAATAAATGAAGAGGGAAAGACAGAGAATAGCCTGTGCAAGAACTGTGTGGTGGTGGAGAGTTTGTCACACTGGAGGATCTGAGGAGTATGATTGGATTCAGAGAATGACCAGTGATAATACTAGGAAAGTAAACAGAATAGATCATGAAGGGCACTGTAACCACTGTAAGAATTTTTCGTTTATTAGTCCTAACGCCTAATAAGTACTTGATAAATATTTATTGAGTTGAATTAAATATATATTCAATTTGTTTTATAAACTCTGGAGGGTTGTAGATTAGAGTACAAACATTTTTGAAAGAACAGGTAAATTTAAATACCATTTAGGAATGTCCCCCCAAAAGTGACTTTTATACTCACCTTCTCCAAAATTTCCATACAGGTTGGGGTACAAAGAAACCAGATTTCCCTCCAAGATCTCACATCTGAAATTTGGGAATTAATTTAACACTAAATTCTGCAGTAATAAATGCATAGAACAGTGGAGACTCATTACAATACTAATATTTTCTACTTGTATAAGGAATTATAATGTACTTGAGATTTGATTAGTATTCTTTCAAATGATGTCTAATAAATTACTAAAGAGATTTACAATCCCAATTATTTTTCTCATTCATAGGTTAAGAATCTATCCCTGCAACTGGAGCAGGAGTCAAATAAGCGACTGTTGTTACAAAATGAATTGAAGACCCACGCATTTGAGGCAGACAATTTAAAAGGTTTAGAAAAGCAGATGAAACAGGAAATAAATACTTTATTGGAAGCAAAGAGATTATTAGAGTTTGAATTAGCTCAGCTTACAAAGTAAGTTTCGGAAATAACATTCTTGATTTCTTTCTTTTTTGTGTTTAGCATTTGCTTATGTGTTTCATATTTTATGTGTGTATAGGTTATGTACTTAGAGTATGTGAAAGGAAGATTTAGGAAAAAGCATTTAGAAAAAATAAAACAATTTATTTGCAAAGTAGGTTTGCAAGGGAGTTCAGGCTTTGGAAAGATAGGCTTACTAAATAAAAAACAGTTATTTAAAGGGGAAAAAAAAGGACATTATCAAGACTAGTGACTTTACAGTGTCTGTTTATGGTAGGAAAAACACAGTTTTCTCATGATTTTCATATCTACAAAAGTCATAATGTTTCTTCACACTAGAATTACAAAAATGAGGAATAACCTTTTTATTAAGGATTTAGTACCTTACAGAAAATGTTTAAGGTTTATTTTAGAGACTAGAATTAGACATTAGACATGATGGCCTTGTATTTGTTTGTTTGTTTTATTTTGTTTCTTTGGTTCATCTCAAAGTGCAAAATGTCCTTTTTCTTCTATTCTGAGATCTGATGTGCCCACTTACTTGAAATGGGGACAAAGCAAGGTATCAGTATGACTTTCAGAATTTGTATAAGGACATGCTTCAGAAATTTAATATCAAAGATACCTTATGCCAGACCATGAGGTTTTATTTCCTTCAAATTTATGTTATAATGTCTTCATTTGCCAGCTTCGTTTACAACACAGTAATTCTTGGGTAAAATTGCTGGGTTTGATTTTGTTGACTTTATATTGGTGAAATTCTTTTACCGTTTTAGAGCCACTATTTTTACCAAGTAATGTGTTTTGTAGTTTTCTTCTCCCGAAATAACTTTCACTCAGCATTTAACTAATAATTATTACGTACTTTCTGTCAACCATATGCTGAAAATAAAAAGCTGTTACTATCTAATATGAAAACCTAGCAGCTGCAGATGGAATTGTTCATTGTTGAATAGCTGTCCTTGGGTTGCATTGTGTCTCTGTCTTTTTGAGTCCTTTCCTCTCTGTGAACAGTGTTTACGTGTATGTATTCTATACATGTACTTGTCTCTTTATCTGTGTTACTCCTCCTTTGTCAGTTGTTATTGCCTCCCTTCTTACTCCTTACCTGAGTATTCATTTCCACTGTACCCTTGTACTTAATTGACCGTAAAATATAGTACTAAATTATTCTTATTATTTATTAAATATGGTCAAGTTTTTAATAGTCTACTTACTGCATAAGACATTTTAAATGTATCCCTAATAAAGCTTTTCTTTAGAAAAATTTACCAAAAAATATTTTTATTTTTGCATTGTGGATTAATCCACAATTAATAAGTGACCTTCAGTAGAAAACTGTTCCCTCAACTTTTCATAGTATCATTTAATAAGGAGCAGACAGTGTGGCCTAACCAAATATAACCAGTAAAGTAATACTGTGTAATGAAGTATGATTTTTAAAATTTTTTGGCCGCACCTGCAGTGGAAGCACAGGGTCTTAACCACTGGACTGCCAGGGAAGTCCCTGAAGAATGATTTTTTGAAACAGAAGTTACTTTAGTAAACCTTTTTTATTGTAGCAACTTTAAGAAACAAAGAATAATATAAAGTCTAGTATAAATAAGAGCATTTGTTTACTGTTTTCTCTTTTGTCTAAAGACAATACAGAGGAAATGAAGGACAGATGCGGGAGCTACAAGATCAGCTTGAAGCTGAGCAATATTTCTCGGTGAGAATCATTTTTAACATATAGACTGTTTCAAAACCTGACTTAAAACAAGGTATTTAGATTTTTAATGTGAACTATGATTCTTTTTCAAATGACTGAAGTAGTTTTCTCCCCTTCTTTATATCCCCATCTCTGCATTTCATTTCTGGATCTGAGTTGGTGGTCTGTTTAAGTTGTAAAGAAATGACTGTTTTTGTGCAAATATTTCCAGAATTGCTTTCAAACTGGAGCTACATATAAGACTTTGTTAAGGGTTCTGTCTGCCTGGTAGCGAGCTCTGGTGGTTTAGAGTGCCGGTATTATCATGTGTGGTTCTTGTATACTCATTATAGTGGCCTACATACATATATCTCTAGGTATAACTACGTACAGTTGTGGGTATAACTAATGTTGAGGAGCTTTTTCCTATTTTAGCTCTGTGTGCACTTTTATGCATCTGTTATCCTTTTTCTCCATAAAAATCATTTTCTTATTTGCTGCAGGCCAAGTTATTTTCATTACTACTGTTGATGAGCATTTATAGCTAATGCTTTGAGGCTTTATTGAAACCTCTGAATTTTTGTTTACTTCCTCTGGTTGCCAAGCTTGTGCTCTGCCATTTCAGCTTAACATTTATCTACCAGCTCCATTTCTCTTTCAGTGGCAACCACTTTTCCTATGAGCTTTAAGCAGTGTAATTAAATGCATGGAGTTTGAGTTACACTGATAAACATTCCCTAGAAACCAAGTGTGAACAATATTGGAAGTAATGATTTCTCTAGTAAAAAACCTGGATACCATTAGAGCTCTACAGAATTTCACACAATTAAGAGCTTCATGCTCTACTCTTTTCATCTCCTAATAAATATGATGACTTTCTACTTCTATTTCTTCTTGGCTCATTATACTATCACTGCAATATGTTTTTAAATTAAAAAATAATTCAAGATTGTTGAAAAACTTTTCCCTGAGTGTAAATTAACCTTAACTATTCAGTGTGTGATACTGACTTCTGCAAAGTGGTCTGTAATATCAAGCACACCTTTTTGTCCCTAGGCTTCCACAGAGTAATCATTCAGTGCCTCCATGTTTGGGGATGGCTGTCAAGTGATTTGTGGTGGTTCCTATGGATTCTTGATTTTTGTCTGTATAAAAACCATACAAAATACTAACGCTGCCTTTAGTTTTGATTTATTCTATTGCTTGTGAGGACTGGATTAGATGTTGCTAAATTTGATAAGTTATTATGAACCAAATTTAAGATATTCTTTAATCTGGGCTTTCAAATCAGGTTATTTTTCTTTTTCTCTCTTCATTGATTACACATATAAATTTCAGTAATTGAAGTCAGAGAAAGGAGAAATGAGAATCTGATTCCTAAATGCAGAATGGACATTTCATTTTAGAAATTGTAAGCACTTAAACTAGAGCCAGCCATCATTCTTCCTTCATTTGCATTCCCGTGGAAATGTACTTTCCCCCTAGAGAAGTGCTATTTCTTAGAGGTATAATTCAGTGTACAGTGTAAAAGTAGTACTCCACACTATTTGCTGGTCCTTACTATTTTTTTCCTTATCTTTTAAACTAAAAAGGTTGGTTTAAAAAAAAGAAGTTTGGAAGTTTACTCTGTAACCTCAGCATCTAACACAGTGTCGGTCTAATACTTTTTCATACCTCTTAAATATTTGTTGATGGAGTTGGCAAAAACCTACTGAATTTTGTAAGAATCATTGTTCTGTAATAAGTATATATTATTCATATGTTGACAGAACATTGATAAATCCTATTTATGGATATTTCTTCTACCTCTCAACCACCCACTTCATCACCCAAAAGAGAAGTGGTTTCTCTAACATTATTCACTTCAAGAATTGATCTAACTTTTAAATAAGTATTGCTTGCTAAGTTTCTTTATAATGTTTTTCCCAAATCAATATATTTAATATATATTTGAGGTATAATTTATATATAATAAATTGTACCCATTTTAAGTGGTTGATAAATTCTGACATATGTGTATACTGTGACCACCACCACAATCAACATATAAAACATTTTCTTCACGGCCCTTTGGAGTCAATCTTCTCCACCCACCTCTGTCTGCAGGCAGCCACTGATTTGCTTTCTGTCTTATTGATTATTTTCACCTATTCTACAATTTCATATACATGGAATCATGTAGTACACACTCTTTAGCACCTGGTTTCTTTCATACAGCTTAACATTTTTTAGGTTTATCATGCTGTATATATTAGTAGTTCATTCCTTTTTATTGTTGAGTAGTATGGGTACATCACAACTTTAAAAATTCATCTGATGATAGATATCTGGGGTTGTTTCCAGTTTGGAGTTACTATGAATAAAACTGCAATGAAAATTTATGTATAAGACTCTGTATGGATATATATTTGTATTTGTCCTGGGTAAATACTTAGGAGTGGAATTGTTGGACCATGTGTTAATTGTTTATAAGAAACTACCGAACTGTTTTTTAACCTACCATAAACACTTATTTCTTCTTATCACTTGTTTTGCAGACACTTTATAAAACCCAGGTAAAGGAACTTAAGGAAGAAATTGAAGAAAAACACAGAGAAAATTCAAAGAAAATACAGGAACTACAAAGTGAAAAGTATGTCCATTTTAGTTTAGAACAAGAATCAGTACTATAGCAAAACATTCTTAAATTTAAGTTTAAAGATAGAGAATAGATGTGCCATTATTCTGATGGTGGTGGGATAGCAAATCTTATTGGGTTAATTCAGAACAAATCAAACTAGATTTAGGCTAAATTTGACTTTATGGTGAAGAAATAATTTGATACATTAACACTGTAGCGGTTGTACAGAGATTCACTAAATTGTGACAGTAAATTGTTTTCAAGGGTCTCTCAATCTTCAAACATCTATTTGTATATAAATAGTTCACGCTTGGGGCTTCCCTGGTGGCGCAGTGGTTGAGAGTCCGCCTGCCGATGCAGGGGACGCGGGTTCATGCCCCGGTCCGGGAGGATCCCACATGCCGTGGAGCGGCTAGGCCCGTGAGCCATGGCCGCTGAGCCTGCGCATCCGGAGCCTGTGCTCCACAACGGGAGAGGCCACAACAGTGAGAGACCCGCGTACTGCCAAAAAAAAAAAGTTCACACTGTATTTGCAAGTCATCATTTTATGTTAGGTAAAGGTATGCAGGGTCTTCCTCTTAGTATTATAATGCAGGTTAATTTCCATTGCATCTGTGCCTAGGGCCTTACAAGGAGGTGATCTTAGAAAGCTATTAAGTGTAACAACTGCTCATAGCTAGATAGTGTGAGAACAGACATTGAAACTAGTTTTCTCACATTGTTATATTCTTTTCCATATAACCACCTTTGAAAGAAATAAAAAATGTTAACTTTTATTGTTGAAGCAAACAAATACATAAAATAGCAAAACATGTGCAGTTTTATGAATTATATGACAAATATCATTATAACCACCACCCATGAACAAAATCTACCTCAGAAGCCCACTATATCCCCGCTTCTGCTTATGCCTCTTCCCTCCCCACTACAAGAGTAATCACTATCCTGATACTTACTTGTTGAAGGAACTGAATCATTTGTCCTGTATAGTTTTCCAGTTATGATTTTGCTGATTCTGTTTCCATAGTTAGCTGAACATTTTCGTCACCCTTCTGTGCTTTTTGCAAATCAGTGGTTAAATCTAGAGTTTCACTGCTTAGTATGGTAGCCACCAATCACATGTAGCCGTTTAAATTTAAACTTTAGTTCATTAAAGTAAAATTAAAACTTTAGTTCCTCAGATGTACTAGCCACGACCTAGGTGCTTAAGAGTCTTATATGGTCAGTGTCTACCATATTGGACAGCACAAGTGTAGGACACTTCTGTCATCATAGAAAGTTTTACTGGACACCCCTAGACTGGAGGCTTAAACAGATTCAGGTCTGATTTTTAGAGGGAAGACTACCTCTGTTTTTAGCAACCATTGGCACTCAGTGCTTAGATCCTTAATACATTAGGTAAACTCTAAGGTAGGCACAAAGCTACATTTCCTGGTTTCTCTCTGTGACAGTAGTAAACTCCTTTTGTAGAGTATAGTCTGTTGCCTATCACTTGTGTGGTATCTACAATGTAATATACAGTCCCAGTTTATATGTATTCACAGTGAAGGGGACACCCAATCTGCTACATACTATATTGTTTCATGGGATTGATATGTTTTCCCTGTTTGATCTGTTTAAGAGAAGTGTTGATCACCACTGTTGTGCTATGTGCTGTGCTTCATGCCAGTGATATAATTATTAATAAGTTATGGCTCTTACCATCAAGTGCTTCAGAATCTAGTCAGGAAACAGACATAATTAAGGTAGGTGGCTATGACAAAGTGCTATTGGAATATACTGAAGGAGTATATACCTCATCTTACCATCTGGGATTCAGAGAACATTCCCCAGGTGACAACTAAGCAGAGTAGAATTCACCAGGGCATGGGATATGGGTTGAGAACAATATAGGCAAAAGCCAGTCTGTGATTTGGGAGCAGCAAATGCTTTCATTTGCAGGTAGGGAGACAGTTGGTGACAGATGAGACTGGAGAGATAAACCTGAGTCAGATTACAAAGGGCTTGTGTGTCATTGGGAATTATCAACATTGAAGAGTGGAAGATTTTATTTTTTTTGCCATTCTCTGTTGTATATCCACATCACCTAGATCAGAGCTGGGCAGATAATAAGTATTCAATAAATATTCAATGAATAAATGAAAATTTAAGCTAGGGAATGACAAGATACGGTTTTAGAAGTCTCCAGTCTTTAGAGAATGGACTGGAGTGAGGCAAAGCTGGGTGGATATAGGAGAGTCCAGTTATACTGCCGTCGGGATAATCTAGATATACAATTATAGTGGAAGTTTCCAGTAAAAGGAGAGGCAAGTGCATAGGAAAAAATAGAAAGTAGAAGCAATAGGAGTTGTAGATTTGAAGGTATGGGGATAAAAGTTAGGGAAAATTTCAGGTCAGCTCAAGTTTCTGACCAGGACAATTGGGTTGTTGGTAGTGGTAGTCCCTAAGCTAAAATACCAGTTTGGGGGAATGAGAGCAAACAAGGTTATTTCTATTTCACACCTACTGAGTTTGAGGTGCCTATGGGATGTCCAAAGAGAAATGGATACCAGACATTGGCATTATTGCTTTAGAACTCAAAGATAAGGACTTGAAGCCAATTCAACAGTCATTTCATGCTGAAACCACTAAGATAGATGAGATGTATTAAGACAGTTGTGTTTGTCAGGGTTTATGAACTCTTGAGCCTATGATACCATACATGTAACTGGGTTGAAGTTAGTTGGATCTAAGTATCGGTAGCATCCATTGCGTGAGTTGTGAGGATTATAACAAACTGAAGAGTTCATGTCCTCAGTTCTGAGCATTTGCTGCCACATGGTAGCACTGACCCAGTATTTCAAGATCTTCTCGTTTTTCAAGAGAAGCCAGGAATCTCAGTTTTTATGTAAAATATTGGCCCAGATTTATTTTTAAGTGTGTATGTGTGCGTGCATGCATGTGCACGCACATGCAGGTACAGAAAGGAGGTAGGAGGGGACATTTATATGGACTCATTTGGCTCTCTTAAGCAACAGGTTGTAACCCCTAGTGTAGGATAAGGAATGGGCAGAGGAAGGGAAAGTATAAAGTCACCCATAATACAAAGAGGAAAGCAGAGTGGGGTATCACAAATGCCAGGGGAATAGAATATTTCAAAAAAGAGCAAGTGACTTAAAATTCCAAATACTCAGAAAGGTCAAGTAAAAAATAAATTGTCCATTACATTTAAGGTTGTTATCTTGTTGAGAACAGCTCCTAAATAGTGATGACAGTATTGATAGGTACTATATGGAAGTAGACTGAGACATGAGTGGGAAGTGTAGAAGTACAGAGAGAGTAGACAGCAGCCACATTGACCTCTTTACTATTCACAAACCAGTCTGTTACTCTTCTGCCTCAGGGCCTTTGGACTTGCTCATCCCTCTGCCTGGAACATTTTCCTCTGAATATCCACATGGGTTCTTCCTTTACACTCTTCAAGTCTAGGCCTAAATGTAATCTCAAGAGAGACCTTCCCTGAACACTCT